CCAGGAGGAGCTGCGGTGCATTTGGCCATCATTATCGGTTACTTTCTCTGTTTTTGCTTCACACTTGTCCGAAAATTTATTTCTCTTTCCAGTTTTTTATTCGTCGTTCCATAATATTTCGCCTAACCAACTTTCAAATTTCAATGGCAACCAACTAATTAAAAAGAAATAAAAATTAAATAATGAAAATGGTACTGTATAACTTTTTAAAAAATCTGAAAAATAAAATACCGGACATTGAAATGAAATTTTTTATTGGAAGTAAACAAAGAAATGGTTAAAATGCTTCTTCTTTTTTTTTTTTAATTTTCTTGGGCCATGAAATAGTTAAAATGTTGCTCCAGATCAATATTATATTAAGAAAAGTAAAAATGATAAGGCACTAACATTAAAATTATCTATACATTTAATCATAATTATTATTTAAGTAAAATTTAATTTAAATAATAATTGTGATATGATATCTTAATAATGTTAATATCAAAATATTCTGACTTTCCATATACTTTTATCGTATTCATTTCCATAAAAAGCAAAAAATATCATATTTATGTTAATAATTGCTTTTAAAATTAAGAAAATAAATCACAATTTGATCAGTGGCATGCGTATGGGTTAATTTCAGTCATATAGTGATTTTATTCTGTAGTCTCAAATCTGACGATCTAGTCCCAAAAGCTTGTAAAAACAACAAAAATATCGGGTCTCGTCGAAGTGGAGACACAGAAATTTACATGGTGAATTTACTTAATTGATGATATATTGAGGTACACTAAACACAGATTAATGAAGAAATTACAAGGTTTGTTCTTAATCACTCAGACCTGCTCCGGTAAGGGCAACATGTAATCCTGTTCCTTACAATCACAATCTTAATTATGGTAAACAAGTCCTAATTGAGCCAAGCCAACAAAATTAAAGATGTTGACACAACAGCCTTGGATTTTTATTCATGATGAGTGTGCAGGTTCAATACCATCACAGTCAATACAGTTAAGCAGTATTTCTCCTGCTCTGGCTCTCTGACTGCTTCTGCAAGCTCGTAAGCTCCAATTGGTCGACCTTCTCGCCCACCATTAACCTTAAGAAAGAAAGCCATTTTAGATGCAAAAAGATAAGACTTCTGAAAAATAGAACTCCAGGGTCATTACCAAACCAAGATGGATAAAAACAGTTGCCTAACAACAAAAATAGAAGTGGTTTTTGTCTCATGAAATTTCTAGAAATGATACACAATAATAAATTAATTTCTCAAAATCTTTTCATTTATACTCCTGAGTTTCAAACTAAATCACGGGCAATATACAATTGATCGACCAACATGCTTATGATATAAACTGCTAGATCAGGCAATTTTCAGTTGACTTCAAGACAAATTTGAAAGATTTTGCAACACTCTTTAGTTTTCCTATTAGATCAGTGAACTTTAAGTTAGATGAAGAGAGCAAAAATAAGCCTACCGTACACTGGTACCAAGCATATTCTTCTCAGCAGAAAAGAAGAGAGCTGAAAGAGCTGAAATAAGTCTTCTTAGCATTTCTTGAACATCATTACATTCTTCTTCTCCAACTGCTGGATGCAGCTTTTATAAAGTGAATCATATACTCATGTTCACATCTGCTTGCCTACAATTTTTCTAAGGGAATATATGAACAAATTTGAGCTGAACAAAAAGGTAAATTAGAGAAAAAATAAATCATACTCAAATCTAAATGCGAGGGGACGGAGAGAACAGACCTTCAAATAATAAAATGAAAGCTTTTGGTTATTACTGTTGCTAGGCTTCCCTCCATCAAGCTTTTCACTCGATGTGTCCAAGCAATCCTCTGTTTCTTTCCCTTATGCATTGGTTGATTATTTTGGTGATGGTTGCTTTGATGCTCAAGAATCATGAAGACAACAAAGGATCTGATTTTCAAATATAAAAGATAAAAAGAGGTGTTAATAAAGTACTTAATGCAAATAAGTATAGTGCTATGCAATTGGAATGAAAAAAAATGAACAAGAAAATTTGTTGGAAAGGGAAACACAGGAAGGAATTGCACTCATCTATTAATGAAAAACATGAACACAAAGTAATAAGAGAAAGACTTAGACAAAGCTTCGGCCATGAAACTGAGAGTTTCTAGCATGGTGTGAAAGTAAGGATTCAGTATTTACATATTCGCTTGGCTTGGAACCCTTAAGGCCTTTCAAGCACACATGACTCAAGCATGAGGCATGTCTTAAATTCAAGCATAAAAATCATTAACTCAGAAATTCAAACATTTGTTAAAATTAAGCTATTCGCTGAAAAATATTCTTGGAGGGAGTACAAGAAGCAACAGTAAGTATTCTCTCGTTACCTTTCAAAGTCAGGTCAGCTCTAACCTGAAAAATAATAGCTTCTGTACTTAAAAAATTTTGTTATCTAGAACCTGAAAATTAAAAACTTATTAAGAATATATGATTGCAATGTATAAAGACAAACCTAGACAAAGTTCTGGCTTAGGCTCAGACAGTGGAGACACATTATTTGAGCCTCTTTCAGATTCTCCGAAGTGTTCGGATACAAGAGGGAGCCACTGGAGAATGAAGGATTCAGTTTGCACATCAGTCCTTTGGTGTGAAATTCGTGAGGGGTTTCAAGCACACTTGAACTGACCTCAATTACTAGAGGTCTCCGTGCACAGGTACAATAAAATACTTAACCTACATTTTTTTTATTGTAAAAGAAAAAAAAAATAGATGAACAAAGTTGAGATGAGAGAAAAAGAGAAAGATCAATTAATTAAAAAGGAAGTAAAATAAATATTTAAGATCTAAAAGCAGGATTTTGGGTAAAAAAAACAGACCTTAAAAATGAAAGAATTTAGTTGTATGTGTCTGTGCAATCCCTGTTTTTCTCCTCATGCATCTTTATATGAGACAGAGCACTCTAGTGAACATCCATTAGTTGATAATTTGGAGAAGGCTTCTTGATGTGCTGGACTCTTGAAGCTTAACCTGATTATTCAATCAACAGATTTGATCAACAAGTAGAAGTTTGAGACAAAAAAGGTTATTTTCTACTAATCTATTGGGGAACCCAAACTCAGTTTTCAGTGACAAAGTAAACAAGAAGTTTGCAGTTGTGGTATAAATGTAGGAATTAAGGTATGAAAAATTAAACATACCCACTGTCCAAGGCTCTTGCCCATCTATGTTGATTTGGAGAATGTGGGAAATCTTGGACCATTCAGCTCTGCTATATTTGGTGCATCTTTCCTTCAATTTGGGGCATTCAACAATCTCAAGATATCGTAAGTTGGTGAGGCGTTGCATGGCTTCAATAGAAGGCATACTCATCAAATTACCACAATTTGTAATGTGCAGCTGTCGAAGAGAAGAGAGGTTTCCCAACCAGTCTGGTAAAACTTCCACTCTGTTGAAATTTTCTAGACACAATTTCTGGAGGCCAGTGAAATGCTGAAGCTGATCTGGCAAAAACTCTACTTTATCCCATCCTTGTAAACCTAAATATTTCAGGGAAGCATGAAGGTGATGGGTGCAACTGAGTGTTGGGATCTCCTCCAACTCCGAGAAGAAAGGACCAATCGATAAACTATGAAGGAATCTTAAGGCTTGGAGTGGAAACAGATGCTTTAGATTTCCACAATCAGAAATGAAAAGTTGTTGAAGAGAAGCGAGGTTTCCCAACCCTTCTGGAAAGGCTTCCACTCCTTTGAATCCATCAAGAGTCAATTTTTTCAATGCAATGAGATGTTGAAGTTGATCTGGCAAAGACTTGACTTTATCCCATCCATATAATGCTAAATCTTCAAGGGAGGAGTTGAGCTGATGGATGTAACTGAGTCCTGGGAATAATTCCAATTCCTCGCAGAAAGGACCCATCTCTAACTTCTTCAATCTAGTGATGTAGCGCAGGCACCCTTTTGGAACGCTTCGTAGATTAATGCAATGTGAAATGCACAAATCCTGAAGAGAAATGGAGGAGCCCAGCCCACTTGGTAGATATGTTAATGCACCACAATTAAGTATCCCTAAGGTTTCAAGAGATGAGAGCTCATCCATATCTGGGATAGCTATCAAATTGTCACAGCCACTGATCTCCAAGGAAGACAGCTTATGATGAGATGAAAATCCACCTATCCGCCAAATCTCCAACTGAGGACAACTGTAAATTTCCAAAATCTCAAGGGAAGGAAACACAATCTCAACTTTGCTTCCTACTGCTATATCATCATCATCGACTTCAACCCATTCCTCTAAGGTTTTCATGTATCCTAAGGTGAGTTGTCTCAAAGCTGGGAACAGTTTGATTGGTTCCACTCCTCCTGGACTATTACTTCTGGTGGTATCAAACTTATGACCCATCCTTTTTACATTTTTAAAATGATAAATGCGAAGATACTTGAGACTAGGTAGAAGTCCTAGACTAGGAATATGTTCACAATTATCCCAAGACTCTAAATTCAACTCCACTAGGTTATTTGACAAAAATGTAGCACCAGAGTTATTGACACCCCTCATCATCCATTTCGGAAAGCTCTTTCCATTGTAATAATCAATGAATAAACCTTTCAAATTTGAGTGAGGCTGAAAACCTTCTAAAACCTCCTCATGGTTGCTTTGGTCTCCTTCCCATCTATTCCATCCCAGTTTCAAATTGTGCAATCTTGTCTTTTCCTTTAGGC